AACGAATCACTACTGAGAAAAGCGGGACTGAAAACATCTACACCTGTTTGGTTCAGGGGGGAGGACAGAGAGAATTCGAAAGGTAATTATAAGATAATAATAAATTCCTTTTTCATTAAGAAATCAAACTTTAACTTTTTCAGTCCCACCTTCTCCAGTAATGATTCATTAAATTTCTATAGAATTTCTGCTTTTTGCGCTCAAATATTAATTAATGACACTTAACGTGTGCACACTTTTTTCTTCGTTTTTGGCAAGAATTCGAATAATACGTAGCAAGGAGGATCATTACGGAGCGCCCTGCATGTTTGGTTATTATACAAAATTAAAAGCTTAGTTAGCGTGACCCCCTTTAAAAGTGCTAATTCTAATCCTGAGGTATTGCTTGCCATGTTCGTACTATCGTAAATTAATTTTTTTCTCGTTCACTGCCAGGTCAAAAACGAGAAAATTATGGCCCGAAAATTAATAACAGTTTTGTTAAAATCAGCGTTCTAAATTTTATCCGTTTGCCGGTAACAATTTTAGATAAAGATATTTCTAGATTTAACTTAAAGTCGCCAATTCTTTCACTGATCTATCATCATACAGAAAGAAATATAACAAAGTAATAAAAATTCCTTTCTATTAAATTGAAAGAAATTCTATTGAATTAGACTGATACCAAAGTAAAAATTTTTATTCCAAGTTCCTAGAGTTTCGTAATTTTTCATTCTTTTTACAGTAGGATATATTTTTTTATTACTCTGTGTATCAAAGTACTTCATTTTAAAGGATGTGGAAAGATATCCAATTTGAGAGGAAAAAAATATTGAGAATGTGTATTTCATTTTGGTAAAAATATAGTTATTCAAGTACGCAATATTTTGTAGAAATAGATATACTAGAATTGAAATTCAATATCTATTTTTCGATTCTCCGTTTGAAATACATTTCAATTTTAGTTTTCTTCGCATTCATAGATTCGGAACCGTTAAAATGAAATTCTTTTTAAATCGATAACTCAAAATTTAAATACAATTCTCATTTACTGTAGCGCTAGTAACAATATATCTATTTTGAAAGTTTCTTAATAAATAATGAGTTCCGACCGATGAATTTTGTTTTAGAAACTCATTATTATGTATAATAATTTGAACTGAGCGACATATCAATCCATTGTTAATTATTATCACATTTAAAACATTGCGATCGTAATTTTTAGCATTCCCACCGTATATTTTAAATATCATATACGATAATTTAATGAGAATAACAGGATACGACATTATAAGATACATAATACCGCTCAAGTATTATTGATAGCGAAGACTAAGGAATACGATTTTACTTTAAGTGTTAATACAGTTCATTTGCATTAAGAAATTACAATGTAATAAATTTTAGTGTATCTCAACGCCAAAAATGGTGGCAATGTATTTTAGTGAAACATCATACATAGCACTTGGATCTAGGTGTTTCTCAACACCAAGAGTGTTCTTTTATACTACTTAGTGTAAAGTAGCCGCCACCTTATTTTTTATTCAGAAGCACTAAAATATGTAATTATGGTAAGATAAGATACACCTAAGAGAGTTAGTAAAGTTATTTTAACGATGCAATATAAAGCAAGATATAAATATTTAGATGTGTGTGTGATTCAATTCAATTTCTGCGTATATATATATATATAGGTGACTGAAAGTAGACACATGAG